CAAAAGTTTTTTTCTCTTACTTAATTGGCCTCTCAGAGTTGGTAAGACAACTCCCACCTGTTCATGCTCTCTGTATGTGTGAATATATATCTCCTCAATATATGTTTCACTCTATATGCATCCGAAGAAGTGGGCTGTAGTCCACGGAAGCTTATGCTCTAATAAATTGGTTAGTCTCTAAGGTGCCACAAGTCCTCCTGTTCTTTTTGCGGATACAGACTAACACGGCCCACCTGATCCAAGGCCCACCTGGACAAGGCCGAGGAGAACTAAAAGTGGTATGCTGACCGCTGGCATCAGGAAGGCCCGGCATTCGCTGCTGGGCAAAAAGTGTGACTCTCAGCCCTAAACCGCCACACCAGCATGTTGTAAACTGGACCTCCGATCCCTTGAGCTACGTTCCATCAGCCGGCCAATCAACCCAGTGCGTGGGACGCTTCAGTTACCCAGATCCCTCACAGTACACCCAGGGTTTCATGTATCCTCACGGAAGCCCTTTCGCTCACCAGGCTCAACCGCTGCACTCTCCGGTGTGGGTCCAAGGACATGAGGAGGATGCAGTCCATGAGACACTGGACTTCAAAATCAGACACAGCTCCCTCTGGTGCCTCAGAGCCAGGTTGGGCTGTGGCCCAGAAGAGCAATTCTGGGAGCCCACAGCCCGAGTCCATACTCCCACCCTGCCTTCGCTGCTGCCACTCCCAACAGGGAGCACCCCTATAAGGGGGGAGGGGACGTAAGACCCTGCAGATCTAGTACCCAGCTGGCATCTCCAGACCGTCACCCAGCAGCAACTGTAACCAGTCTGCCTGCCACTGCCCACGACTTGCTGTGGACACTGACCATGGGCTCAAGTCCTGCCTCAAGGAGTCTGACAGGCAGCAGCCTCATGGCTCCTGATTGGCTCCCCGCCCTGTATAAACCCAGCCTGGACCTCCTGGAGCTGCCACACCCCACTCTGCTCCAGAACTCCTGGCTCTGGCCTCGCCTCCTGACACCTGACTCGGCCCCTGACGCTTGGTATTGGGCCTGGCCTAGAACCTGACTACAGACATCTTGGCTACCCTCAGGGTCAGGTTTGTCCCTGCTCTGCCCATGTGGGGATCCTGATGCCAGGAGCCCCCCGGCCTTGGCTGGACTAATCTGCTCAGGAATGGCTCTGTTCTGGCAGCCTCACCTTCCACAGGGCGCAGATGAAGAGGGCCAGGAGCAGGAGCCCGGCCAGCACAGCCAGCACGACCCACCAGGTGGGGATCTCCTTCTCCGCATCCGGGCTCACCCGCACCACCTCCGTGTGGGCCTGGGGAGGGACAGCCAGGTCAGCGACCCACCAAGGGGGAGAGAGACGGGGCCAGGAGGGGCCTGGGGGAAGGGCTGACCCCCTCACCTCAGGGTGGGGACTGCAAGGGCGGTGTCCCACCAGCCCAAATGACCACGGTTACCAAGACAACGGGCTGCCCCCCCACCTCCCCGGCCAACTCAGTAGAGGGCTCAACGTGTCTGTTCCCCACCTCAGACCTCATGCGTGGTCTGGTACCAGGTGCCCCATGGTGCCACCCTCTGGCCCAGGGAGCTGCAGCCGGTGCTGGACGGGGTGCTCTCGCCCACGCCTCTGTGCCCCGGGGCCAGGCCGAGGCGCTGGCTGCACGCTCTGCCAGGGCTAGGGTTACCATACGTCCGGTTTTTCCGGGACATGTCCGGCTTTTCGGCACTCAAACCCCCGTCTGGGGGGAATTGCCAAAAAGCCGAACATGTCTGGGAAAATGCCGGCCAGGCACTTCCCCTCCCGCCGCGGCTCTGCTCCTCCCCGACTCTTCGGCTCTGTTTAAGAGCCGAGCGCTACGGGCTTTGGGCAGCCCCCATACCTCCGGACCCTG